GGGCGGGGCTAGCCAGGACAAAGCAGCCCCAGCTCATGCAGGCTCTGGGATCGCTGCGGCTCTGCTTCCCCTGCCCTCCTCACCTCGCACCGCAGAGACGCGCAGGGCAACCGGCCTTTAAGCCAGCTGCCCCCCTGGCTCCTGCTCCCCTGCTGGAACAGAGTCTGGGGGGCGAGTGGTGACTCAGCTACCCGAGAAGCCTAAGCTAGTCGTGCACAGCCCTTGTGTGACCCCAGGGGAGGGCAGGCTCTGCTGGGGGGGGCAGCTTTAGGCACAAGGCCAGGCAGGCCGGAGGAGCTGACTCCATTTGCACAGCCACGGAAGCAGAAAGGGGCTTTTCCTTTCCAGGTGTATCTAGTGCTCAGACACGGAATCCAGCCCCTGACTTCCAGACTGGAGCAGGAGGGGCCGTGTGTAACTGGGCGGCTGCTACGTCATTTCTCCAAAGGCAAATCCTGATCCACTGGTGTAGAAGTAGGGTACAATTAAGCAACAAACGCCGGCTTCTTCCCCGCGCTCCCTGGGACGGGAGGTGCTGTTCTCAGTCGCCTTTACCAGGGTGGGGGGATGGTTCCATTTTCTCCTTTGGAAAAGCAGACAGTGACCGTGCAGCAAGGCCCTCAACCGTCCTCGTTCCACAGGGCAGCCTTGCCCTCGGGATCCAGAGCCCCTCAGCCACCTGCTCCACGTGCCTGGACTGGACGCAGGGCTGCAGCGTGTGGCTCACCTGTGGGAATTTGCCCTGCTCCCTGCGGCGTTTCTGCTCTCTGAGGACACTGGCCGCTCGCTGGGACGTGGGCGGAGGGCGCTGTGTGGCGGCACAGACAGTCCTGCAGAGGGGTGCGAGCCAAGTGAGAGATGCCTGCGGCTCCGTCCGGGGCTGCACTAGCACCGCCCCCGGCCCGCGCTCGGGAGGGGCCCGTAGCCACTACACGGGGGCCCACTAGCGTGTTCGCCATGGGGCCCGGCTCCTTGGAACACGAAGGGCCCTGGGGCGGACAGACCAGAGCGAGGACAAGCGCCACCCGCACGCAGCAGCTGGGCAGCAGTGGAAGAAACGCGGGACGTGCCCAGTCAAGGCTTAGCCCTGCAGCAGCCCCCAAGGCAAGAGCAGGTCTGTGCAGTCGGGTTGCCAGATGGTCTCCCACAAAATACCGACCACACGTCCTGCGGCTGCCACCAAGAGCCACCACGCTGGGAACAACGGGGAGGCAGCACAGCCTGCCCCCAACGCAGAGAGGCAGACCCGGGGCAGCACCATGGCAGGGCGGGGGGGCAACCGCGGGCAGGAAGGTGACTCCCCCATAGCCAGGTCTGTGGGTGTCCCAGCAGGAAGAAGCAGTTTTGGCCGAGAGCCCCTGGAAGGCGCCTAGACGCACCCACAAAGCGCCCGCGGGCTCCTCTCCTGGACCTCGGCGCCGCAGCGCGCTGGGACCGCCCAGGCAGGGACGGGGCTCCCCCCCTCGGCGTCACTGCTCCCACGCCGCGCGCGCCCCGCCCCCCAGCCTGGGGCTCCCTCTGGTTGCATGCAGAAGCTGGGGGGGGGGACGGGGACGGGGAGTCCCATCCACTGCCCCGCCCCCCCCAGCTTCTGCATGCAACCACAGGCTCCCAACGCCGGTCAGGGCCCCGCCTCCCAGCTGGGAGCCTGGGATTGCACAGAAGCCGGGTGGGGGGAGTGGCGGGGAGTCCCATCCACTGCCCCGCCCCCCCCAGCTTCTGCATGCAACCACAGGCTCCCAACGCCGGTCAGGGCCCCGCCTCCCAGCTGGGAGCCTGGGATTGCACAGAAGCCGGGTGGGGGGAGTGGCGGGGAGTCCCATCCACTGCCCCGCCCCCGCCAGGCTTCTATCTGGCGCCCAGCCGGAAAACCAGAAAATCCCAACAGTGCACATTGCTCATGTCTGGTACTTTCTGAACCTTTTTACCGGACAGAAACCGGACACCTGGCAGCCCTAGTCTCCAGCCTAGTGCCCAAATCCCCTAGGCTCCGTTCCACAGCCTAGCCTGGGTCTCCACACTCAGCCCTGCCTCACCCGCAGCGCTCAGAGGGCCAGCCCGAGTACTGCCGGTTTGGGGCTGGTGTCGGGGCAGATCCGCAGGAACTACTGTGCCCGGGCCGCTTGCAACCCTGCCCTGGTCCCGCTCTGCTTGGGGCCGGGCCCTACCCCGGCTGTGTGGAGCCAGGACGGAGATGGGCTGCTGAGAAGGCCACAGGAGCCGTGGCTCCCCGCCCAGGTCGCTCTGCGCTAAGGGGTCTCAGAGCAGCCGCACGGAGCAGAACTCCCAACCCATTTCCTCCGTGCTAGCCCCATGTGACAGCGGGGGCCTGGGGCAGAGGGGCAGGGACTCCCGCCCCACCTCTGCACAGCCCTACAGAGCAGCCAGCCTCCCAGAATGGGAGCAGCCCCTGTGCTTTCCTTAGGTCCCGCTGTACCTGGTGCTGGGAGCGACTGCAGCTGGCCAGCCCGCCTCGCCCGTGTGCAGACTCCGGACGTAACCCTGCTGGTTCCCGTGCAGGCAAACCCAGAAAGGGTCCCTCTGGGTCCTGTCCAGAGCACCGCTCGCCCTCCGTGGAGAGCCAGGGACGCGGTTTCACCTCCTCTCTGCCTGGCTGCTTTCAAACATCCGTTTCTGGCGGCTTCCTGTCTTGGGAAAGGCCAGCCAGTCAGCGGCCGGTGGGGGAGGGTCT